TATTAATAATCAATTATATTTTCAGTTATATTTTGACACCAAATGCTATTTTAACTCCTCTTCTCTTTATCATCTTGCTCTATTTCCTTTCTCACATATAACTGACCGAAAATAAACAACTTGAAATGTATTCTATTTTTGAATATTCTTACAATAAATAATTATATTATTTCAAATTTATCCTTATATATTAATATTTTAAAAGTTAAAACTTATTATAACATTTCATTGTTCAATAACAGTAACATATTTAAACTAGACCTTCACTCAAACTAAGCACGAGTAGAAAAGACGTCTGACTGCAGAATTTTCATAACTCTCATATATGTTCATAGTTATTTTTTAAAATCTAATTTATCTCTTATTAATAAATGAAGTTGGACATTTATTGATAACCAATATCAATTGCATATCCCTTTATTAGAACATTATTGTTCTTTGTATTTTGTATATATAGTAAATCTTCAAGACTCTTTCATGGATAAAGTTAATTTATACAAAACGATAATTAACGTGTATATGCATATAAGATACGAGATATCAATGGTCACTAGAATACTAAGTGATTTATAACTATATAAAGAAATTACCAGCTGTTAATTACAATTTATTTTTGTTCTTGCATCTTCCACACGGAGTCAAAGAAAAATGAATTTCAGATGTGCCCTACGCACATTCTCACGAGTTTGACAAGCTTTTTTGTGGGATGTGGGTGAATCTCTTCTTTCTGACCTCATCCAAACTCACCCACACCAAAATCAGTTTTTTCAGTGTAGAAACTCTCAGTTACAGCTGATAGTTTGATGTAAGAAACCTTACAAGCATTTGTCTCATTACCATTTTGATGTAGATAAACATATATGACAAGTTAATCTAAGAAGACAATGAATTTATAAACTGTTCATTGATTGAAATATATAATTTTGTAGAATGCATCAATCTAGTCCAATGTTATTTTTCTATCGTACTAATCTCCAAGGACTAATTTCATCTTACATTTCATTGAGAAGAATTTTTTTCATAACAGCTTTGTGTTTTTATCTGAATAGATTTAATACAAAATTTATCGTGTCAATGGAATAATATTCATTATATTAGATGATTATAATTTTAATTTTGTAACATTCTTTATATTCCCATAGGTATTCATATTGACAATCTTATGTTTGAAAAGTTTCCTGTTTTGAAATTTTGTTGTCTCATATCCTACTTGCTTGGATATATTTTTCGACGATTTTTGCAGCTTTAATTAAAATTATCTTAGTGTTCTTTTTAAAATTCAATAGAAGATGCTAAGTAGATAAATGAATATTATTCCATTGAAATGATAAGTCTCGTATAAAACACGTGCAGAGATGAAAGACATACTGATGTTATGAGAACCAATTTTTCTCAAAAATATAAGATGAAATTATTCACTCAAAATTGATAATATGAATGCAGTAGAGAAAAAGATATCTTTTGTAGAACTTTAAAAGATCTATGAAAAAAGAAATAGAGGAGGCAGATCAAACAAATTGATTCAGTCATCTATAGATAATCAGATCAAAGTGAAAGTTTTGTAAATCTCCTAACTTTCTTCTTAACTAATAATTTACTTCGAAAATATTGATATCAAATGCTATCAAAATTTGATGTTTTTATTTAACCAAAAAGTCATTGACTAAAGGCAATAGTTCCTTAAAAAGAGCAACAACAATTATATTCGATATGAAAAGAAAAAGGCATGCGTAGTCTGTGGAGCCATGAGTCTTCTTTAAAAGACAACAGTTGACGAAATTAACTTTATCACTTACTGGACTTATCTCAATGTACGAGGAAACAGTAGTTAAGAAAAAACACATTTTTTTATATGAGCGCATAAGTAAATTTATAAAAATCATGATTTTTCAGAAGAATTTGAACAGTTTGTTCAAGATTTTTATTGATAAATTTACTAGCAATCAAAAAATTTGCGTATAAATACTACATTGTATGGAAATAACTATTAAGGCTAATGATTCAAATGTTTCTTTGACTAGCGAATACTTGAGTAGGAGTTAACAGACATGTTTTTTTTGTTTTTGTTTTCAATGCATAGTTTTTAAAGCAACCAATGACATAACTATTAACTACTTCTACCAGCGTTCCGCAAGATTTCAGCATCATCATTTTAAAGATCGTGACCTTGCAAAGTTCTCTTTTTCTTTTGAATAACTTTTGAAATATTTATATTCCAAATATTCAAACACAAAGATTGCTTTTTTTGGCAAAAAATATAAGATTTTCTTAAGGTTAATTAACGAATAGAGTGAATATTTGTAATCCAAGTCAATTCTAATTTTATCTGAATTTTCAATTATTCAGGAGAAATATATTTATTTAAGATTAGAAGATTTAACTGATAATATCTTAAAAATCAGATAATCTTATATTACAATAAAATCGAATGATCGAGTTTATGATCCTGATGATTCTTAAAAGTGGATATCAATGACAATTATTAGCTAGAAAAATGTGGATGAGATTGATTGATTTATTCAGAAGAGACAGACAATAAACTGTAACTGTGGAAAAATATTTTTTTAATTTAGAAGATTTGCAACGACTTGCTTGTTGAAATAAAACGCAAACTAAATTGATAATTGTCCCAAAATCAAAAAAAAAGAAAAGAAACACTTCTCCAGAAGAAAAAGTGAAGAATACAACGAATTCCTAGACAATAGAATGTATGGCTTTGTAGATGAACCGAAAACTCACACTTTATTGCATATATTTTTGTTTAAATTAAATTTTACGAGAAAAAATTTCTTTATTTTATTTCGTCACATGTATGCTAAGTTTACTGTGTCAACAACAAAAAAAATATTTGAAACAAAATTAAATAAGTTAGAACACAAAATTTAAATCACGAAAGTAGATTGTGAGAAAAAAAGTTTTGAAGCTAATCATCTCTCCTATTTTCAATAATGGAAATAGAACAGGATTCAACATCATACTATTCATTAAAACAACGACTTCTTCCATAAACAGATATTAGTAATTTTGAAAAATTGAATAAATATAGATAGGCATATGAAAAAAAAATGATTAGCTAAGATATAATCATTTTTGTAAAGTTGTGATGTTATATGTGATTATCAAACGATGTTCGATGAAATATTTTGCAAAGCGATCAATTTACATTTATAAACATTTACCAAAAATCCAGAAATAAATTTAAAATAAAATCTAAATATGTTTGAAGTATTCTAGAATGTGTTTACAAGCCTTTTAGTATCTTTAGAATGTAACAGGAACATGATGCGATCATTTTCTTACAGAATATTCTTTAGTGATGATCGAATTTTCGTTATTTATGATTTATTTTTTATGAAGCCAAGCATTTTGATGATTGTATTGTTGAGTTTTAACTTATGCTTTTCATTAAAAAAATTCTCAGAAATTACAATCTAAAATAATTTTACAGGATAATACCGCGCTTGTCAGGCATCGAACTGAACTCGAACCTGTGGAAGTTGGTTTGATTCCTTTTCTGATAGTTATCGTTAAATACTGTCAATGATGAATTGCTTTTTACATTAAAATATTCAATTTTTTTCTTTATTATGAAATTCTTTTTGTATTGATAATAAAATAATAAAAAATACGAATAATAAATCAAGAAAAAAGAATTGTTATTTGAATAAAAAGAAACAATGGTGTAGTGCGAGACTTTTTGAATTTATCATTTTCAATGGATTTTCAGAAAACAGTTCAATAGGATGAAGTATGGTAGCTGCTTTTACATATAATCTACTAAATCAAAACAATTCAAAAATTGTAGATGTGGTTAAACAGAATATCAACATCTATACTCACATTCTTCTTGATATTATTAAAAGTACTGGTTATAAATGCAAGTTTTAATCCAGATTTGTGCAACTTTTTCTTAAACTCTAACGACATGGTTTAGAAACAGTTTTCGTTAAAACTTCAATGGCTAAAATATGTTTAATGGATACATGTAATCGACTTATTTACTAGTTAAATCAAAGATTGAAATCATAATAAAACATACGATATGAAATGTAAATCAATAAGCCAAACAGAAAATAGAGCACAAAATAAATGACAATCTATTCGGATTGGTTTTAGAAAATTTAGATATGATTGTTATAATAGAGACCAATTCTAGCAAAAAGAAAAAAAGTAGATAAATTAATTCTTGTTGCTATGTTTCCATTTTATAAATTGATATTTTTAGTCTTTATTGAAGGTGTGGGTATGGACGACAGAGAGAGAGAGAGTATATGATTCATCAACATATCCAAACAACATCTATACATCCACACCGTATTTTGAACGTGTTCAAGTAAATCAGCATATAATTTTTCTAGATTCGATTCATGTATGAATGCTTGTTGAAATTGACGTCAATGTTCAATATTCGTTAACTAAAATAAATAAAATAGATCTTTTGTTTTTTGTTGATATAATTGATATTTGCAAGTTTTCTTTTAATATACCTGCAGATACTATTTTCGATCAGCAATAAGAAATAAACGATTGTCTGATTCTTCGAAACGAACACTGAAACGTGATAACATCAATAAAAACCTAAAAAAGTAAAAGATATACTACATTATCTATGAAAATTCATTTTGACATTTCATGGCGAAATTTATTGATTTTGTATTGACCGTCATTCTTTCGGAGTACAATAAAGAGTTTTTGTTTTTCATTAATGTTTTACTATTTATCTTTTCCAAATAAATTTTAATTGTATGTGTAAGTCTTGATAATTTTTAAAAAGAAAACTAGAAAGAATATTTAACCATAGGCAGAATTTTACTCATAAGAGGGTGTGGGTGTGGGTATCATTATAGGTCTTGTCTTCACCCACACCCACACCCTGTGATAGACATGCACTTAACATAAGACAAGTTAACTCCCATATAGCCATACATAGTGATTTTCTTTGTGCAATATTTGTCATTGATAATAAAGTCCATTCATTAACTTTAGCTGAATAACGTGCATTAATTAAAGCACGAAAAAAATAAACTAATGTGTACAAGTAATAATGATAAAGGATGTAATAAAAGTAAAGCTTCATATGGTAATGTTGATGATTGTTTTGTACGTTCATATAATTCTTCAACAAGTTCAATAAGAATATTATCTGATGATGATATTATTGATGAACTATCAATTATTGTTTGTTCTTTATTAACATGTTTATTATTTAATGAATTTGTATTTTTATTTGGTCGTTGTAATAATGTATAAATACGTGAAAGTATTAACACCATATATCATTTTTGGGATATTGACCAACTATTAAAAGTTTTTCAAGACTAATTGATATAATTTTTTGTGTTAAATTATCATCTTTAATTAATGATAATAAAAGATCATATGAATTTAAATCAACTTCATGAATAAACATGATGCATATGCATAAGTTTTAGTTATTAATTTATAATTACGTTCAATTAAATTTATATATAATTCATTATATTCTTTTGTTCTTTGTTCAAGTAATATACTAGATTTACATAAATTATAACTTATTAAGGATATTATTAAATCATCTTCATCAAACCATGTACAAATAAATCAGAAAGATATATAATTGAACCTATTAATTTATATTACATATATTTCAATTAGAATTTGTAATGATAATGTTAAATCAAAACCATGATGAAAAAAATAAGCAATCAAATAAACTCTAAATTATATATTTTTAAAGATGGATGCCAGAAAAGAAAATGTTCATAATCTAATTTTTTGATTGATAGAATATATTTGAAATTATTGATATAAGCTTTTATCTCTATGAAATAAGATAGTTTGCATGTATTATATATCAAATCAAAGTCAGAGAAACACTAGATTTTCTGTTTGATGAAATTAATAATTTAGCAATGAATTTATCTTTCTCTTAACTTTGTGAGACTTACATTAACTGATAATGGTAATGTATTATTACTTTGGATTGATGTTAATATAGTATCATGTGAAAGTTGTCCATAGGATAATAAATCACGTGTACCTAACCGTTTAATATTTGTAAATAAATTATTTGAACTTGTATCTAATATTGATAAAAAAAGAACAGATAAAATCTAGTTTATTTTTCAATCTTGTTACCATTGTGTTGCATTTGTTTCTAAAGTTTCTTCTTTTTTTTTTAAAATTATTTGTTGTTTGTTTATTTTCATCATTAGATTGATTTGTGGTGAATTAATTGAAGCTAAAAATGAAGCCTATATTTCTTGAAATTGTATTCTTAATAATCAACCAACTTCAAAATTGTCTTTATATAAATATTGGTAAACAAAATAATAATATAGCTATACAATGTAAATCATGTCAATAAATATATGATATATATATATTTAATTTTTCTTGTTAAATAATAAAGATGATCAAGATCATTTATCTGGTTCAATTAAATTAAAATATGATTATAATATATATGATATAGTTAAACCATGTCGTTGATAAAGATATTCAAATATTGATAATAGTATTTTCGATAATGTACAACATGATATTATTTGATCTGTTTCACAACTAAGAAATGATGTTTTTTTTTTTGAAATATATTTATATAAATTATTTCTGATATAAATATTATAAAACATAATAAATCATGTACATCACCTGTTGAAAATTGACATGTCAATTCAACATGATTTCGTATTGTATCAAAATATATTGATATAGAATCTATGAATGCAATTGAATATGGTTGATTATTAGAAGCATGATAAAAGACTTTTTTCATAAATTGTATTAGGTGTTGTTTCAATGTCATTTTAATTTGTTTCATTTGATATTACTATACAAAATCCTAGGAAAACAAAAAAAGAATAGATTTATATTGTTTCTTATTTTCTCAAGTCAATTTTCATTTACTATAAGAATCATCCTAAAAATTTAATGCTGTGGAAAAAATCCAATACGTTTTCGGAGTTCACGAGTTCAAACTTATAGAAAGTTTATCGAAATTCTCGAATGCAATTTATTTCGAAATATAATATTAGAAAGACGTCGTTTTCTTTAATTGTAACAGTACAAATACCACGTCTGAGAATTTGATCTATAAGATTCGAGAGAAATTATTCGGTCATTGTACTAATGTAGCTTAAATGCTTTCCTTTACGATTTGTATTACCTGAAATTCTGCATATTTTCTATTTCAAAATATTTTTCGAAATTTTGAATTATTCAAAAGTCTCATCTATTACTAGCACATTAACAATGTCAAAGTAAAAACAAAAAAATATCTTTTAATTGGATTAAAATTTTTATTATACATATATATTTATCTATTTCGATAAATTAAACTAAAATATACCGGTAACATCATAAATGGTAATCAGTTTTTATAAGTTACATTTTTAAACATTTGTTCATAAATTTTTCTTGTTATAGCTATAGGACAATTAAGATTATTAAAATCTTAAGTAATAATATTGATTGATATTGTTATTGATAATATTTATAAAATTAATGGTATATATTTAGGTCATAATTGTTTATTTAATGGTAATGGAAGGAATTGTTCAACTAATAAAACTAATAGAAGACCACTTTCATCTAAATGTATTCTTTCACAAAAAAATAAATGACTTGCAACTGATGTATGATGTATAAGATAAAATAAAAAATAATAATAATAATTGATAATGTGTTGTTATTGATGTAAAAAGTTCAACATATAATTTATGATGATATATTAAATCACAATAAGATTGTAATTGACCACTGATAGATAAATGTATTCTTGATGATGGTGTCAATATTGGTGATCACCATGCTTCTTGTATATAATCAAGTATATTCAAAATATGTGTCCATTGTAATAATAATGAGATATAAAATAATGATCATAATAATTTAAAACATTCATTTAAAATAGTTCAATACGAAAATGTCTCAAGACAATGTAGAGTTTCATCATGAATTCATAATTGATGAAAATCATTTACAATTGTTCGAAATTGTTTAGCGAAAATAAAATATAGATCTTATATAAGCATAGGAATTTTAAAGTCAAATTTATTTCGCTAGCCCATTAGTAATTAATGAATTGCAGGAAAGTTTTATCTTCAAATTAATGGGTGATATGTACATAAAGATAATCGGATACAAGAGAAACTAATGTCATATTGATTTGACCACATAATTGTCGAGTATTAGTTAAAATTCGTAATATTACGCGTCATGTAAAATTCGAAGAAGAGCTCTGAAAACAAAAACGAGAATAATACTTGTTAAATTATAAATAAAATCATTTCGAATACTTACACACTAAAAGTTTCATGTCATGTTCCATTAACTGATAATAAAACATCATTCTATCGTGTTAATATAGCATCTTCAGTTAAATTTTGTACAAGACATTGAAGTATTATATTTATACTGATTAATTATCGACTTGTAGATTGACAGTTGACATTCTAAAAAAAAATTTAAACTATAGGAAAATTTTATAAATAAAAACAACGGACATTTCTATTTACTAACGCTCGAAAAGCAACATCAAATAGTGTTAATTGTGTGGAATAAATATCCAAAAGTGATTGATTCTATTTGAACAAAAAAAAGTAACGTAAAATCAGAGACTATTAAAAGAAAAATAACCTGAGATTGTAAATGAGCAAGAAGTAAATCGACAATTTGTCGTGAAAGACATTTTCATTTATCATCTTCATTTCTAACACTATTAATAATAACTGTGAACAATCATAAAGCCTATAACAATATAAATTCTATTACTATTTTTTCAGTATATATACATGACATGAAAAGATATTTTTATTTATAATAATTAAGACGCCTAATTTTTCTTCAAACTCAAATACATAACGACAAGATGATTATTTTCAGATCATCAATTCGTTGAAGTATGGGTGTGGGTTCAATCGAGGAGAAAAATTACATCTACACACCCACACTCACACCCTCTCGAGTTTCTAAGATATTTGAGACTTTATAGAAGGACACTTTTTGTTCACTCTCATTTAATAAAACTTTTTAGGAATTTTAATTATTCGCATAACTCGAACAAGAAAAAAAATCATATAAAACTGGTTCTAATGCTGCCAAAGCTAAATAAAGAATTTTAACGATAATTTCTTTTTCTCGAAAATGTTTTTTTTTTGCTTCCTACTATGTGTTTCAGGTTCATGTCCACTTGCTAATAATGAATCATAATGTTTTATTAAATCTTGTATTTTAATAACTTGTTTTGAATGAAGTGTATCATGTGATAACATAACAAGAAATTCAGCAATACAATAAATAAAATGCTATTTAAAAATAAACGAAACGATTAGAAATGCAACGAATTTCATCAGCTTCTAATTAACTATTATTAAAACGAATTAAAAGTAATTGAACAAGTAAATCGAGCAGAGCAGCTTGAAAATCACTTTCATTTCTATTAATATATTTTTTAAGACTAATTTTTTAGTTCAATAAAAACTAAAATGGAAAAGAAAAAAACAGAATAGATCAAATTCGTTTTTTTGTTTATTTTACTCTCGTATTGCACTATTTATACTTGTTGCATAACATGAACCAAATAAAATAAATTATCGATTGTCGAATACTTATCGTATGAATATAGGTTAAAGAAGTATTTAATAATACTTGTGAAGAAACATTTGAAGATTTAATAAAAACTAAATTAAAAGAATATTTTTAAATGAATGTTGTGTTAACAGAAAAAATGATTTTCAAATTTCGAATTGATAGTGTGTCTTGCAGATCCCTCATGTAAACTAGATGATTTAATATTCGAATTTCGAGATAGAACCGAATCAAAAGATCTGACACTTTCACAACAAAACTACTCTTGTTAAGATCATCGATATTTGTAAAATCAGTTTTTCTATTACTATGACATTCTTATATTGAAATTTTCCTTCTCTAGGAAAGACCCTTCCAGAAACCTTCATTATAAGATTTCCATCTAAAGTTTTATCCATAGACAAGTTTCAGACACAATACAACATCTTAAAGGTTTTAGCTTAACCCGATGAATAAAAAAGATTAATAATTGAAATTTTCTTCACCATAAATATTTACTATTTAAAAGAAGTTACCTTTTGTGTATATTGAATATTGATTTAAAATAATTAAGTGTTTCTCTTCCAAATTTTTTTGATAAATCTTGTGTAGAAATAAGACTTAAAACTGATTTCATAGACGATAATGATCATTTCTGATGAATTTAATAAACTTTTATGTATTTGATATGATGAACACATTAATTCGAATAATTTCCAAAAGTACCTAATTGTGTATGATTAACTTTTTTAACTTTGTCTGTGTTTGATATTGTTGATGAATCTTTATCATTCTCTTTAAAAAGAAAAACAAATGAATTCGTTCAGACGAAACATGATTACATATATTCTTCAAATCTAACACTTTGGAACTCCTTTCTTCGGTGAAAACTGAAATATCAACTATATTCTGTCCAAAAGAATGATAAAATAGTTCAATTTTCGAATTACTTGAATTATTTGTGCTACTTTCAAAACATTTTTTCATTTGTTGAGATTTGATAAATCTTCAAATAAAAAGAAAGAATTCAAAAGAACATAATAAATATCTTTTTTTTTCTCTTTACTTGAAAAGATTAAATTCTTAAGATCATGTAATATAAAGGAATGTTTAAAGAAATTTATAAATAAACGAAGTTCATCATATTGATTATGAAAAAATTGGTCGAATTGTTGTTGGTCTTAAAACATTTGAAAGAACATAAATATCTTCTAAACATCCAACCTATATAAAAGACAAAAATGACAAACAATTTGTATTCGAGTTGATGTTTGAACGTGTAATGAATGATGAATTTTATATATCCATTGACATGGTAAAAATGAATTGTGATCAACAAAATCTTAAAATCAAAAAGTAGCTAATAACTAACTTAATGCAATAAACTCGACTTATTCATTCAAATTCGAAAAAAGCTACGTAGTTATTATCTCTACAAAATACATACTTAGCAAAAGTCGAAGCAATTGCTTGACGAACACGTATATCAGGGTACTGTTGTTTTAATTGTTGTTCAAGATAAGTTAATATTCGAAAATCAATATCATCCATAAGTTGAGCTAGAGCAAACTATTTTATATACATACAAAAAAAGAATTATTATAATCATAAATTTCTTTTATCTACTTTAGCAAGAATACAGGAACTTGTACTATGTTGAATAGAATCTTTTAATAATTCAATTCCTATGATTGTAAATGCATTTAATGAAACATGTATAACACGTGCATTATTATCATTAAGACATATAACCTTGAACTGTCTTGTGAATCAGTTGATACAAGAGAACATTGATTAATAAAAGAATTAATAAATGAATTTGATAATGATGATAGTGTTAAAAGATGAATTGTTGTTTGAATTAATGTAACAAGTAAATTTGCACATGCATCACGTAAATGTAGATCACAGTATTCACATAAAGATAAAAGATATGTAATATCTTAAAGAAAAGAAAAAAAAAATACCTTGATGTTCGATAAATTTTAATGGATTACAAGTCACATAGAGATGAGAATTTCATTTTTTCTCATTAGAGAATTCTATTTCAATTACAAAATTTTTGTTTAATCAGAAATCTTCAAAGACTAATGAAAAATTCCTTTGAGGATACAATTGATTTCATATCTCGAACTTCGGCTTAGAACTATTTTTTGAGGTAATTGTGTGATTGTATAATTTCAATCTCTGATGTATAAATGCAGGCTTTGAGCTTCAATAAAGTGTTCTACTTGATATCTTTTCGAGTCCGATAATGTTCTAGTCTTTTGTTGGTTTCAAAAAAATTAAAAGTAGGAATAGGACTAGAGCTGCCAAATCAATATCGAGAAATCTTCATTCTTGAATTTTCAGATTTCAATATATATATATGTTTCAACAATTTAATAGTGAAGTTGTCATATCTATCAGATAACTTTCACTAAAACTTTGAGACCTTAACCAATTGAAGCGACATCAACTAAACTCTGCCACAATCTCCTTCACCTAGGCCCTCCTACTGTTACGATATTAGAAATAATTTTGGATTATAAAAAAAAGTCAAACAAGAATTAAATATACTTTTAGTAAGATAAACAAATGGATCAAATTGTTTATAAATACGATAGACATATTGGTATAGCACTTTTAACACTAATACATGATTCATCATCACTTTTTATCGTACCATCCATATTAAGTATATATCCAATCGGAAAAAAAATATAATTGATTAACAAGTTTAGCAGCTGATATTCATTTTTCATTATTAATCATTGATGTTGAATCGAATTCATCATTCATTTCAATAAATCAACGTTGATATGTTGAATAAGCTATTGTTTTAGGAAAAAAAACAAATGAAAAAAATTCTTGTTTTTTTTTCTCAATATTTACCTGTTTTTAAGGCTTCACTGACACGAATTTCTTCTATAGATCCAATTTGAATTGAAATTAATAATTGATCAAAATCAAATAAATTTGAATATTTAAGTATAATTTCATGTGTTTCCAATGAACTTAATACAACATTATGATCATTATGTTGTAAACAAATATAACATACCATATCAACACATTAAAAAAAGATTTACATTGAAATTAAAATCATTCATTATTTGTTGAATACTGATTGAAAGATGTTATTCATTTGTATCAATATTTTTTACTTCTATTTACTGATTGTTGATTATTGCTTGATTATGATTGAAATTCTTAGATATTTAAACCAAATAATTGAGGGTCGGGATGTGTAGGGATAAGCAATACAAACACTCACACCCACCTCTCAAAATGCCTGAGTCTTCTTAAAGCACATTCGCCATACTTTCTTCGGATGCATCTAACGAAGTTTGAGTGATAAATAGAGTTTTTCATATATCGAACGATAAAATAAATATAAAATTTTTCATTTATTTATTTTGAAGCTTTCAACACTACTTCTATAATTATCAATTTCAAAAAAAATTTTACGATAGAAAATATTTATATAGAGATTAGAATAAAGTTCAAAGTCTAATGAATCATCATAACTCAAATTTACGCTTATACAAGTATCAGTGTATATTTTATCATTGCAACAACACGAAACGCAAAGGTAAGGTAAAAAAGGAAGAAGTAGAATATATGAAAAACGAAACGTATTTTATGACGAACACATGGTCGAAAAAGTCGTTTACATGATGAAAACGTCATGCTTCATTGATTCATGTAAATATACGTTTGTGGGAAAAAACCAAGTAATTTTGTCAATAATAAATACAGAATAAAATCGATTGCAAGCACACAAAACAAAATTTGCTACACTCCAATATTACATAGCACGTAAGTATATTTAGTTTCTAACATTATTAGACTAGTAAGAAAATTAAAGTTAAAAGTAAAGAGTAGCTACACACAAAAAAAATGACGGTACATAAACATGTGTCATTGTTATGTTTATAAAGTAGTTTTAAGAGAATTTCGCTTGATGATACATGCAATCGATTGTCTTGGTTGCAGAATCTTGTATGTATAAAACAGTCTTATTGTAAAACATGTTAAACAGAGTAACTGTTTCTATGCATAAATTTTAACGCGAGTACCAGTAATGAAAGGCACAATTTTTCTTTTAGAAAGTACTCTTTTTCTGGTCTACCGACTAATCTGGCCTGATTAGATAGAGAAACGGGTTAGACATGTCGAAGTTTGAAGACATTCTGGACTAGTTCAGACGTAGCTGCAGGAGTTTTCATGTCAGGATAACTAGTTAGGACAGGTATTTTCGACATTTCGGACTAGTCATGTCGTCCGTCCTCAGCGACTATTTGTTTCCTTAGCCATTCTTCTTTATTTATGGTTCGATGTATTTTGTC